GCAGGATACCATTCAAACCAGGGACCCAGTCTTTTAAACATTGCTGAAGAGCACTACCTGTGTTCAGTACCCCTATATGAACCCAACAAACTGTAACTATTTGAATAGCTAATCATGAAAAAAAGGTCCAGCTTCTTCATTTGTGAATACTTGCTGGATTTATTCATCCTCCGTGTTGTTTATTATTCATTCAGGTGTAAGGTTTTATCACCAACAAGCAGATTTATCGTTCGTTAAAAGAATCATACGTTTCCTCCCTTTAAATGACTAGAATTATGTTTTAGTTCATTTCCTAAGGTCTTTTTGGGCCAGAGAAGGCCTTTATAAGAGATTCTTAGAGTTGAAAAGTGGAGACAGAGGAGAGGACATTGCCTGATCGTTCGGCCGGGTATGGATTCGAACCGGCCTACTAGGAAGCAGTTACCGCTCTAACCACTGAGCCATCCCAATAATGATGTTTTCTTTTAAATATATTTTTTACATTTATTCATTTAATTATTTAAAAAAGATATATATTAGTTTCAACATCACATCACAAGTTTCTCTCAGAACAGAGGAAGCACATTTCCTCTGTTCAAATCCAGTGGCATAATTGTTACAAAGAAGTGAAGCCGCTCTCTGATCTGCGGCCGTGTTCTTACTGAAGTTCTTTGGAGGAGATGATAGCTTAAACTCTGCAGGTTCAGAGGGGGATCAGAGGATTACAGATCACGTTTCTGCTGAGGTGTAGCCGGAGACAGATCAGTCCTGGACCATTAAGCAGCAAAGAGCACTGCTGGCCTCGCATTAAGTATCCTGCTACTCACAAAAAGGCTGCAGATACCCACAGAATACACCCTTTGCACTTCAGTCAGACTCTACAAAAAACACACAACACAAAAAACAATAATGCTCTTTATCCTTTAAGACAAAACCCCACGTGGCCACGCTGTGAAAGGACACTCGCCATGTATATTAAACGCACCGCTACAGGGAGACTATGTAAAGCTTTGGAAAGCAATTAAGGTGGCGGCTCAGAATACGCGAGAGAGGGGGGGAGGGTTATCTTCTCGTCATCGTACCTACTTTGACAAGCGCCGACACTTCTCGTGATGTGGATGGCTGAGCTTGGATTTATGAAATATTCATTTGAACACAGAACGAAGGTGGGGGTGGCTTATGTATAATTTATAACATCTGTATTTATGTTGGATTGTGTGCCTTTTTTCAGCCATTCTTCCTGTTGATATGTTCTTTAAGGGGCAATGATTTAGAGAGCTTTAAGAGATTTGAACGTGGCTATAGCGCATCAGGAATAAACATGAAGAAGTGATTGAAGGAAGGAGAGAATGGCAGAATTAAATGGAGCTGTGAAGGACACTCATCCACTCATGCCCCCAGCTACTCCACCCCTTCTCAAAGGAGGAGAGGTTATGGTAATATAAACGGGTTGAATAGGACAGTGTTTTATTTTTAGACAAGCAGTGGACAGTGGCACTACAAGGGCAACTCCATGTGTCTTTATGGAAGGGAGTGCATTCTCAATCTGGTTTTGTTGTTGTTTGATGGGGCAAACTAAGTGGTATTATTATTAATCCATGAGGCAGACGGAGGGTCAAGAAGTGTGTCTGAGCTTCAGTCACAGGCTGACAGTCCTGGCACTGCAGGTCCCAAACTGGCATAAGGCTGTGTGGTGTGCCAGGTGCTGGTAAGGGGATTGCTTGGCGTAGCAACTCAGACATAGATATAGGAGTCAGTGTTACCGTAACACCACTATTTAATGTTGTGGGTCAGGGACCTAAAGGCAGTATTTAGCAAGTAGACAGAGTCACTGACACAGTTTTGAAGCCTCTTTTTGGAACCAGAAGCGACTATAGCGTGGAGTAAAGTATAACTGAGCCATAAACAAGAAATGTTTAGGCAACCACAATTGCCTTTCATGAGGTGTAATGCACTATGAAAAGGGAAACAGAAAACTAAAACAAGGCACCCACACTTGTCAAAACCATGGAAGCAACTTGTCAATCACAAGATCATAATTTACAAACATGGAAGAATACTTGGAACTAGCGATTGAGACCTTAAAATCCTTAGAAGAATGTAAACTGTGGAAATGATTCCACTGAGAAGTAGGGTCAATTGTTGGTAGACTTAACCCTTATGTTGTATTCGGGTCTCCCGTGACCCGTTTCAAGTTCAAATGATATAATAACATGCTCTAGTTTTTTTTAACGGAACAAGGCTTCATGATATCCTCCACAACAGCTATATAAACAATGAACAACTTATTTAGACAATTTTAGCCAAGTCTGAAGGTCTCTAAAAAAGTGTATCATTTGGTGTTTGGGTCTGGGAAGACCCTGCAGCATTGTCGGGGGTGACTCGGGATCAAATTTGGCACAATCAAGATTCACCTTTGACTTTAGACACCCCACCTCCTTCATCCACTGTAACAATCATTTAAAACTTTTTTTGAGGAGATTGTATAATATTATTCTATTATAGTCAGATAACGTAATGATTCACTGTCTTCACTATAGCAAATATAATGAGTGAATTCAATCACATGTTTTACTTAAATAGGTGGTGTGATGTGTTTTGGGGCCATAAAATAAAATTACAACAGGATTGTATGGTTATGAATGCATAATAAGTTAGTTATGATGTAGCTAAAACAATATTGGATGATAGTCATTATTTTTGAGTGTTTCGGACTGAGATAAATCATGGGTCAAAATGTACCCGCGAACACCATGAACGGTAACAGCTTTTGAACACAACAGAACAGTTAAACATTTGAATGTTTACATCAGGGGAGAAGCCCCCTGTTGGACATTTGCAAGAATGCAGGTCAGTGAGTGCATATACAGTATGGCATGTGTGAGAAGCTATACTTTGTGTTTGGCCTTAAACACGCTGCCTCCTGAGACCATGCTGCTGCTGTGATGTTTGTTTTGGTGGAAAAGCAGCAAATTCCTCTGGGCTTTCCCTTGGTTATTGATGCCTGCTCATTCTGGTAGATGCAAGATAGGATTCTCCTGAGGGAGAGGTGGGGGAACATGTCCGTGTGAAGAGCCCGCAACGGGTCACACAGATCAATACAAAGGTGGAGCAATCAATCTGCTGCAGGAGTTCATTTGGCTGGAAAACCCTTTCATGTCTGAGAGCTGGGAGATACTCCCTGAAAAAGGTAGACTTAGTGTGGAGGAATGTGCAAACATGATTCTAAAATAATAATGGTTTAAAAAAGTGTCAATCCTATGGGTCCTGGGGGTAGAATATAGTGCTCAGGAGCCGCAGCAGATGATGTATGCACAAGCGTTGATGTTTTTGAAAAAACTGCATGTCAGTCAGCCATTTTAAAGCTTCCAGGCGTGTTGCATTTCAAATGTGACAGGCAGGCACAGCGTACACTGTGTTTACAAACCACTCTCTCCATCTATTCAAAGTAACACAAGTCTGCGCTGCACGCCAGTACAACACATCTCAGAGCATGCACCATAATCACACCGAGACACTGACATTGTCACCTGAAGGTGTCGTCGTACCACTGATGCATGATGGGGTTACCAAATACTGAAGACAGAGACACACAAAGAGTGATAGATATTCATAGCAGAACAAGCATCCAGCGGGGGACTCGTATGAAAATGCACAGCACGTGGCCACACCCAAGCCAACACAATATTAGCTCAGAGGAAAAAGTACCATCATCTCAAAAATCATTCTTTGTATGATTCGTAAACATTTCCAGAAATCCCACCAAAATTAAAAAAGATCATGATTCCAAATCACCAAAGTTGAGAACCTAAACACCTTACTGGGACACTTGATGATTACACTTTTAAAAAAAAGCTATTTTTGGAGAGCAAAGACAAAAGGGAGGGGGCAGTATGCAAGCAGGCACAAAGGGGACTGTCAACAAATACATATTATATTTATATAATGTTGAAATATGAAAATGCAGATCATTTAAGATCTTCGTTGTTTATTCCGTGGCCTAAACACATTCTTTCAAATTCTTGCTGTTTTGCTGAACAGGATGTTGGTGCTTCTAAACCAAAAAGCAGTTTACAAATGGCTGGACAAGAAATCTGATTCGATATTCATAAATGCAAGTCTCGCGGAGCATGAGAAGAGAAGATGAAATGGTAAACATTAAGTTCTCCCTAAAAAAGGTTAAATGTGCTTATCTTAAGTCACGTTGGATAGAAGTCAGTAGCCATATTTACTGTAAGTGATGTCATGTAAACAAATATATACATTTCATCAGAATTAGTCAGTTGTTCTAATTAATACAATAAACACAGTCCTGCTGTACTTTAACCACACTGACAGTTACTAGTTTAAATGAAAATATGCTCAGGTTATCTAGTCCATTCATATTTACAATCCTTTCACAACAGGTGAAGTCTGAGTGCTTAACCTAATGGGCGTCAAACCAAGGACATCAACTGATTTGGGATGATGATGTTAGGATTACTCTGCAGCTTTTTAAATCACTTACAAAGAGCATTTTCTTATTTAAATTCAACTTATCCTACATAACAACTTTACAGGAGCTGCGTGGGAGAAAATCAGAAAGAAGGAGAGGCAGAGACATTCGCCATGAGAGATATAACATTCCACCGATAATAATACAGGATTATATCAGCTCCAAAAATACCTCAGCGCCTGTAAAACTTGTGTAAAGAGTTGAGTAGAGTTGTTCTAGTCTCCAAGGTTATTCATATGCATAGCCAGGGCTGGTGAATTTCAATGAGAGCTATAAAAAAGGATGTTGTTAATTTGGTTCCCTGGTTTAAATTGAAGGGAAAATCAGGGAGAGGATAACCATGTTTTAAAAAAAGGGAGACATTTAATGAATCAGAAGCTTCTTAATGCTTTTGATATATAAGTAGAAACACATTTCCTAAATTCTGCATTTCCCATGAGCTCAGAGCGATACTGCATCAGTCATTTGCAGTTTGAAGCTGTCATATCAGTATCGGGCTTCATAAGAGAATATGAGGTGGTCTCACCTTCTGGAGGAAGAGGACGATCCTCTGGACCATTTCCACACGCTGCTCCTCCAGGCTGAAGAGCGTACGTGGAGTGCGGATGAAGACCTTGGTTTTGCCGTAGGCCGCGTCGTGGTCGAATCCACACCCCTGCATGAGCTTCTTCACGGCCTCTTTGTCGGAGGGCAAGTCATGGTTTGGCCACGTAAACTCTGAGATCATCTTGTATCTGGAGGAGGGACACAGAGGTCGTGTCAGAAGTGTATCGCTCAACAAAAGAAAAAATAAATGGTTATTTCGATTGCGTAGATCCTTCTACACTCAATCATCTTGTTACCACTCTGCAAACAGTACACATATATAAATGTTCCCCAACCTCCAGACCTTGGGGATCCTGATTTTACTTGATGTTACCCTGAAGTTAACTTTTTCTTTTTTAATAGAATATCTCAACAAATATTAGTTAGATGACAATAACATTTGGTAATCACATTCATGTTCCCCTTATGATAAATTGTCAGAAAAGTGTTCATCCCTTCAATTATCATCCAGCACCATCCACAGATCAAATGTGTCTTTGGTATATGACCTGCAAAACTGATGATATTAACATCAGCATTAGCATTTAGCTACTTTGTGCTTAGTGCTAATTAGAAGATGTTAGCATGCTAACATCAGCATGTCAACATTGTATTTGTGCTAATGCTATCATTTACCTCACAGAGCAATAGTTGCACTAATAAACTTGTATTGCTTTTTACTCTGTTAATACAAAATAAAAACATACAAACACTGTCAGCGAGGAAGAAATGATACTGATACAGTACCATTTAAAATCTAGACACTGCGCAGATTCTTTGTAATTGAATATTTTGTGTTTGTCCTCTGTGTTTTATTTCCCCTCACATCATATTATATCTCAAGAAAGAAAGCTGAAGCTGTACAGATCTTCTTAATGGCTATGTGAGCGTGAAACTGTGGCTGGATGCCACAGCTGCTCCAAGACATGAACAAGGGGAGTAATTACTGTATAGTGTACCTACATGGGGTAAGAGTCAAATTACGCTCTTTTCACTGCTATAATTGGATGGAAATATGAGACTTCATATACCTTCTTTGAACGATCAGAGTTTGGATTGTAAGGTCCTGTGGAAGCATTTGGTCTAAATTCAATTATACACTGATGAATTATAAAATGCATTTTTCAAAACAGCACAAAGTTGCAATCAAAATCCCTTCTTTATTAGTATGCATTAAACAAAAGCAAGGTTTCTGTCATTTGTGTGAGTTGTTTTGACAGTAAACATCTCAAGAGGAAAACGTTTTATTTACGAATGTATTAGCTTGTTAGCATTTGATGCAAAAGACTCATTGCCTAATCCTGCATCCACAACCACCCTCACTACGAGGGCATAGGAACATGGAGAGAGTGATGAGTTTTGTCAAATGTAGTGAGTGGAGCTTTCCAGGTCTAATATAATAGACCTGGAAAGCTCCACTCACTACATTTTACAAAACTCGTGCATTGACATCAGAGTCACTGCCACTCATCCTCTGCAGGGAGACATGAGGTGACATTTTGTCTGTTCATTTATAGTCTCTAAAGCCTAACCCTGATCTGTTTGACATCTGTCCTCACTCTTTAACTTCTGCTTCCCTTTTATATTAGCCTCTATCGAGACAGAATGTCCTATGAAACATATTGTGTGCAAAACTACAGGTTCACAATTGAAGATATCAAGAGGGGGATTTATTTTCCAAATGTGAAGATTAGAGTCTAAACGAGACAACACGTGCAGCATGGAGTTTTGCATCCCGGGGCTGGGAAAGCTCCCAGAATATCAGTTTGGGATGAAGTGTATCAGATACTTTAATTAAAAGTACAATAACCACACTGTTACAGTACTCTAACACAAGAGCAATCCTCCATTAAATATTGTATTAGAATAACATTTCGAGGCACAAAATACATATATGAACCCGAAAAAGAGCATAAAAAGGACCCTTTGAATGAACAACCAATAAATGATTAGTTGGATGAAAAACTTCTTGAACATGAAAAGTATATTAAATAAGTACATTTCAAAGTAATTCAGTACAGATACCCGTTGAGCTAACTTGTATATACTCATATGGTGTCTGCCTGTTAAATGCTGTATTTCCTGTTTGTTCTAGTGCATTATCTAAAGCACCTTGAATTGCCTTTATTTATAAAAATGTGTTATATTATGAAATTATTTAACTTTTTTAAAGTTTTATAAATTCAAGTCTCATCTGTTAATATCAACTCATCTAATTGGTTATTAATCATTCTGTTTAATGTTATGTTTGCTGTTGTTTTTCTGGTATGTTTTAATGTCACGTCCAGTTCATCTTTCAAAAGGAAGGAACCCTGTTTATATTACGTGTTTCAGTGACAACATTTAAAATATTGGCCCTGATTTTTGTAACTCCTAAATATCAATATTGGCATTGACCTAAGAACTCCATTCTCAGCACTCGGCTTGCAACCAAATTAGTGCTAATTGCTATGCAAACAGACTTTTCATGTCAGGCGTCTTTCTGAATAAAACATGAGATGTTGACGCAAGTCATTGACTACTAGGGGTTTGCGACAACACATTAAATCAGGGTAATTTTTGCAGCACATTGAAAATATTTCACAGCAAAGTATTTTCCTAGTAATTAGAGTGCAGACAGCTTTTAATTCAAGGTCAGAGGACAGTCATATTATGCTTGTAGCAAGCTGACAAACTACTAAAAAGGTCTTTTTATGATGGCTGCTGGAGATTTAACTGATTAGCTGTGAGATTAGATTGGATGCGAGCTGATTGGAGTTACACAACACATGTTACACCCCACAGTTAGGAACTGTCAGATGGAATCCTTCACGGCGGCAGAGTGGACAGCTTCAGGGATTCAGCATGTCTGATCAGAGTGTGTGTGGTGAGGGAAGAGGTGTTACTCAGTCACGTCTTCTCCCCACATTTCAAACTTAGTCCCAGAGCACCCATTCAAACTTCAAATCACAACCCTAACATTATGAAATATGTGAATCATTTGTAGCTTTTCCTCAAAGGCCTGACAGCAAGGCAAGTCCTGGGTAAAAGTTTTACAAAACAAGGTAATCTTTCAAGGAAAATGTCAAACACTTTTTGAAATGAACTCCAAAATGTGAGGATTTGTCTTTTCTCTGTCATTTATGATAGTAATGTTAATCAATTTGGGTTTTGTACTGTCAGGTTGAATGCAGTAATCGAGGAATTTGAAGATGTCAGTATGGGCTCTGGTGATTTTAAATGGTCGTTTCTCAACGTTTTATTGACAAATTAATAAAAAAAAAAAAAGAATCAGCAGATCAACCGATGAATAAATGATTTGCAGTTGCAGCTTGTCAAGTTATAACAAAAATAAAAGCATGTTATATATCACAGAAACAAGGTTTATCACATGTCCAAGGTGCTAAGAGTGATTAATATGTGGCAGGTACCTCTGTAGGAAGCGAGGGTAGGTCTGTCTGTAGGCGAAGCCGGCACGCCGCACTCTGACGTTCTCCAGCAGCCCGAGGTACTCCACCTGGTGGCGGCAGCGCTCCTGCTCGAACAGGAGCGGCGACTTCACCTCGTTGGGCTTGATGCAGCGCACATAGTAGGGTTCCTAGAGTGGGAAATGGTGTTAATAACTAACTGAACATGTTTTATTTCTGATCCATCATTCAAGACTTTGTGCTGAAACTCTCAGGCATGCTATTTTAAAATGTGATTAATCATCCAGACTGCTCACCTTGCAGGCCAGGTTCTCCACCAACATGATCATGGAGTTTTTGAAGAGCGTTGCAGCAGTTAGTGGCCGTTTGGTGACCTCATTGATTCTCAGTTTGCCTTCAGGCCACATGCCCTTCAGTACTGGGTTAGAACTGTGAACATGAAAGGAAGAGTTGTATAAGTAGATATTAAAACACTTTAATGAGCATTGAGCAACAAAATAAAGAAATAATCAGTGTTTCTCTACTGATGTACGCTGCCACTAAGATTGTTTCTCTGATTATTATCAATGTGGTTAAAACCTATTAAGATTAAAATGTGTATCCTAAAGTCGGACAAAAATTGTGTTCTAAGTGACGAGTTTATGTCAGACAACAACATGCAAGAAGGAGATACATCGCCAAAAATGGAGACAAAATGTGAGTGTATTGTTAACGTAAAACTAGCACTGCAATAGTTCATTAATATAATATATTCCCTTGGTTTTAAAAATGTAGACTCTTAATACAGCACCAACCCAAATACTGTAGGTGTTCCCATTAGGCTATTAGCACCCACGTTAAAACATTTTTGGCTGCTATCCACATTGTCTCCTTAGGAGTAAAGAGTATCATAAAATGCACATTAGACAGGTCAGGTCAGTTACTAGACCTCACATTTATATTCAGCGGAGGAAAAACACCAGGGAGAGGAGCAGGATATAAGCCTGCTGAAAGGAGATTAGTTGTACTTGTGCTGCACTGTTCGTTCCAGAGCATAGTCATGTACAGTGCTGCCAGGAATACAGAGAATAAAGTGTGCAGAGGTGATTGAAGAGGCGTGTATTACTCTGTGTGTGTTTTTTGAGTGTGTCACCTGTTGTACAGCAGCCTCTTGAAATCCTGGAACAGAGTGTCTTTGTTCTTATCAATGAAGCCCACCACTGAGTACCTGTGGAGAGAGGGAGGCAGGTGAATAAATGTTCGCAAAAACACATGTCTTGCTTATTGTTCCGACAAGTAACAGCATTACTATTATGATTATTTTGACCTTATTCTATCTATAGATTATCTTTTTATTTACACTTGGCCACTTTTTAGGTACATTTTTCCAATCCTGCTACCAGAACAACCGTAAATGTTTATTTTGTCCGTACTGAGGTGATAGCATTACACATCTGCTGGAGATTTGACGGCTGCTCATTCATGCTGTGAATCTCCTGCAACACAACTAAAAGTGCTGCCTTATCATATTGAGATCTAGTGGCTATGGAGGCCATTGGAGTACCTTGAACTCAGTGGTGGAATCAGATTGAGATAAGATGTACCTGTGAGACGTTATTCACTGCGTGGTGCATTACGACTGTTGTAAAATGTCCATTAAAGGGGTGCACATGGCAAGCAACAAAACTCAGGGTAGGCTGTGCATTTTAAAATAAGGCTTGATTGGTATTAAGGGTGTGCCAAGAACATTTCTTCTTCACCATAAGACCAATAAAGAACATTTTGAAATTCACCAAACAAGGCAACAATTGTTTCCAGTTAGTTCAGACTGTAGCATTGCTTTTCTTATTTGAAAGGAGAGGAACTGGTGGTGGTCTTCAGCGGCTGTAGTCCATCACTTCCAGGTTTAATGTGTTGTGTGTTCACAGATGTTGTACTGCTGCCATGCTTTTTGAGTTACCGTCGCCTTCCGGTCAACTTAAACGGGTCTGGTCAGGCTATTCTCCCCTGATTTCTCCTCTGAAGACCGTTGTACGTGAAAATCCGAGGACATCTCGGAAGAGTTTCTGAGACACTCAAACCCTACCAAAAATCCTTGCAAAGTCAAAGTGACTTAAGCTGTGTTTCCACTTCATGGTAAGGCTCTGCTTTGCACGACTCATTTTGAGGAAGAGGTATTTATTTATTGTTTTTCAATGCAGTACCCTACCAGGGTGATGAGGCATGAAATGTTGTGACACCATCTACAACTGGTAACACGCTGCGTTACAAAGGAACGTATTGTCCTGTGTTGCATTGGTGCATTTCTCTGACCAATAATTGGTCTGCAGTGTTTTAACTTCACCCCCTAATACTGTCTAAACTCGCTTGGAACTTCCACTGAGGTGGAACAAAACATACAATATCATGTGCTTTCCTTAACTTTTGCATGTCGAAAAAGATTTTAAAAAAGAATCAAGTTCAGTATAGCTGCATGCCGTACCATCTATTGAAAATGTGGTATTACAGTAGATTCTGACGTCTGGCATTAACAAGTGCACTTCTTGTCCAGGTGCAACTACACCTAATAAAGTGGCCACTGGATGTGTAAATTGTGGTTTCCGTGAATCTAAATATAAGTTGGACCTTACAGCCTCCTGTAAACGTTAATGTGTGCTGTTAAGCTATAAAAGCAGAGCTGCAGCAGCCCATGCTGTGTGTTGTGAGCAGCCCTCTGCCTGCTATAAGTAGCTCAGGGATTAATCACGCTGCCAGTCAGGCTCCTCTGGCTGAGTCCTCCCCTGGGCAGCAGACACTGGCCCTCACAAATGGGCTCAACACGTTTCCCAGAGCCCTTTTTGGAGGCTTATCGTGTGTTATTTATTCATTTGAATGGTACCCAAGTACTTTGGGGCATTGGGAAGTGGTGCTGTCATTTTGGGAGACAGCCTGCTATGAAGATGATGTTAAAATGTTTGCATGTGTGCTCCAGTTGTGAATATTAAGTGGGGGCCAATTGTTGGCATTGATGGTGGTCATTTGAATGAAATTCAATTGTGTTTTATTGCTACTGTTCAGAATAAAATGCCAACCTATTTTTGTCACATGTGTGTGCACTAGGATGACTCTACATTAAGCATTTCAACATGTTACAAAGTTTCATTTCTTTCAAACAAAAATAAAATAAATATATACATAAATTAGGGCGTTAATAACGCGTTAACGCAAAAAAAAAATTAACGGCACTAATTATTTTAACGCGATGTGTATTTTTTTTCCTCGGCCGCCCCGTAGTTTCAGAACGCATCGAGTTTAAAATACCATCTTCAAGCTGATGCTGACAGCCCCGCTCCTGCTTCCACGCTCACCGGCAGGCACCGACTGGCTATTGGGAGGACCGGGAGAGTGTGTGTATGTGTGGCCCGAGCGAGCGAGAGAGAGACCTTACGTGCATTGTTGTTGTTAGCATCTGGTGCTAGCTAGCTGCGCTAACGGATATAAGGAGCTGTTTAAATGAAAACAGAGGAGCGACATTTCGCCACAACTGCGCCGAGCACTTGACTTTATGGCAGGAAGCCAGACAGTGGGACATTGTACGAAAAGTCAGCACACTCAGCTCGGATAGTGCGCAACATGATTGCAGCGTCCAGGCAGGCTCCCGGTCGAGCAGATGCCTTGAATGTGCACAGAGGTTCCAAACACACACACACACACACACACACACACACACACAACACACACACACACACACATATTCACACACACACACACACACACACACACACACACACACACACACACACACACACACACACACACACACACACACACACACACACACACACACACACACACCACACACACACACACACACACACACACACACACACACACACACACACACACACACACACACACACACACACACACACACACACACACACACACACACACACACACACACACACACACACACACACACACACACACACAGTATTGTATTATTGTACGAGAGGTTCCAGGTTGAATTGAGGCGAATATTTGTAATGTTCAGAGGTTGTTGTGTTTAATATTCATGAGAATATTTGTCATTGTTCAAATGATAATAAACATTAGCATAAAGCATATTTGTCCACTCATATGTTGATAAGAGTATTAAAAACTTGAAAAATATTCCTCTAAGCTACATTTAGAACAGATAAAAAATGTGCGATTAATTTGCGATTAATCGCGATTAACTATGGACAATCATGCGATTAATCGCGATTAAATATTTTAATCGACTGACAGCCCTAAAAATACAACATAAATCAATTATAGAAACATCATCCACACACCGACCCATGCTTTTGTAAAACTCTTACCATGAGGGAAGTAGGAGTTTTGATGTTGTTTATACCTATGGCAGAAATGGTTTGCTTCTAAAATGTTGATGCTTTGATAGAATGTATTCAGTATATACTACTTCAGACTTCAAGTAAGCATTTTAAAACACAATTTTTAAAACATCTGTTGGAAAAACCGTGTTCCACCAAAAGTGTGTCTTACTACTTACTTGTGCTATAATGCAACTGTAACTACAGCAAACGATGAAGTCACGGTATACTGAGGGTAAAGAGTTTTTTCAAAACCATCCTTTTGAAAACAAATATTTTTGTGAATGAGTGGTTCTCCCACATCCCCAAAAAAACATCAAGTTGAATTAGGAAGCCAAACTCCCATGTGCTCTCTGCTGCCAAATTACATGACTGTGATTTCAGTAGGCAGTTCGTGGAGAAATTCAAAGGGGTATGGATGTAGGAAAAGAGCATGGATCACAGTTAAAAGCTTTTACGGAATAGATCAAACTGAGAGACACTTACACCACATCTCCTGCGTAATGGCGGATGCGGAAGTCGCGGTCAAACTCCAGACTCTTGTCCGTGGGTGAGAGCTGCAAAGAGACAGACAAAGAGAGTGAGTTAGCTATTATAAAGCATCTCAGAATAAAGTATGAAAAGAGCAAAGAGATACTGTATACTTAACAACACATTTTTTTCACTTGTTCTGCTTTTTCAAAAACGTTCCTCCTTTGCCTGATGTTGTCTTGTACTGATCACTTCGAACTGAATAATGTCCAACCATGAATGTAATTTATAATAAATAAATACATATAAATATGACGCATCTTCCAGCAAACTTCCTTTTACTGTATGATTAATAAAGGACGAGAAACTACATCTGGTTTCTAAATGTTGACCATTAAAGTTACGTCAATAGTATTGTTTATGTGCTGTAGATAAAAAGGTACTTCCATACTTAGACAGATCTATGAATAATTTACACAAGTTTCCAAAGTATTACCTTAGAGCCTGCGCATGCTGTTTTGAGCTTTCTTGTATGAATGTCATGATTATGCATAACATCTTATTTAAAGGGGACCTATCATGCAAAATGCACTCTTGTACATCTTTTATACATGAATATGTGTCCCCGGTCACGGTGTTCCAGGGAACTCAGCAAGTGTCAGAAAACACAACCCTCTCTCTTTTCCTCCATACCCAAATCCAGTGACGAACTGTGTCTATCACAACTGGACCTTCTGTAGACACACACACACACCCCGCCGCGGCATTATAATGTCCGTCTTTTCACTGAATTGTCGTCTTGAAAAGGGTACTCACAACAATTCCGCAACAACATCATCTTCACCTGTTGCACTTGTCATTTCAACTTAAAAAACAATAAAACGGCATGAATTGCTTCGTCGCATTTATCTGATCCTCTGTCTCGAGCCAGTTAACTAGCGGGCCTTCTAGAATACCCTGGAACCGAGGGAAACTCGGAAAGAATACGCCCATTGGCTACAAATCAATATATGATTGGTTGATCAAACTGTCAGTCCAAACGTACGCTCTCATTCAGTGCAACGGCCAGGGCATTCTATCAAGGATGTAGAATACCTTGGTTCAGAGCAATATAATAGCTATCTATATGGCGCTGCCTTGGTTGAAGGATATTCTATCCAGAGACCCAGAACAAGATCTGATTGGTTGCTTTCTTTTCTAACACAAAACTACTGAAATACGTAGAGCATGGTCTGAGAAGGACAAACAAATCAATGTAACACTGTAATATTACAGATCAACAACACAGATACGATTCTCATTTAATATACATTTTATTACATTTTATTTATATAATTAAATCGATTTTTTGTTTGTTTTATCTGAGTGTTCCAGGGTATTCTCTGAATACCTTGAAGGCCCTGATGGTTCGCCAATCGCCACTGCCCAAATCTCCAACAAAAAAAAAGGGGCTGTAACGGATCTGATACAGACTGATCAAGATTTGAATTATTTTCTACGTGACAAAAGGGGTGCTCCGCTTAGTGGTCAATTCTCCACCTATGAGAGGTTGGGCCATGGCCGGCCATTGCCGCTCGAAAGCGCTGGAGACGCTGTAGTACATATGCCAGGCCTGTAAGGGGCGCTGTACTCTGCCACAAAAGCAGCGAAGAAGACTTCCGCGCATGGTTGCCATGGTTGCCCTTCTGTTTATTCTCCGCTGTGGCTCTTTTTCTCCCTCCCCGAGGCAAGCGTTTGCGCCTCCTGCTTTAAAACAAATGAATAATGACTCTATATAAATCATATGTAAGGGATAATGTGCAGCGACGCGGTCATTATGGGGAAAAGAACACCGACAGGCTGATCAGGAGCCCGACGCGAAGCGAAGGGATCTGGATCGGCATGAAGGTGTGAACTGCCCAGAGTCCGGTTGTTTAGTTCACTTCAGAGGTCTCGGACTGCGTTCACACCCAGGGGCGCCGTAAGGGGGTGAAAAGTTAGGACGATTCTAAGGGCCCGTGACTGACAGGGGCCCCAAACATTTTAAGAACATTAAGAAAAAAAATTCAAGTAACCTTTCATCAATCATCAACAATTAACATTAATATAACGTTACATTGATAATGTAATCACTAAACCTATGATTCATTTCACTGGTCCGAAAACCAGTCAGTATCTGGTGTGACCACCATTTGCCTCACGCAGTGCAACACATCTCCTTCGCATAGAGTTGATCAGGTTGTTGATTGTGGCCTGTGGAATGTTGGTCCACTCCTCTTCAATGGCTGTGCCAAGTTGCTGGATATTGGCAGGAACTGGAACACGCTGTCGTATACGCCGATCCAGAGCATCCCAAACATGCTCAATGGGTGACATGTCCGGTGAGTATGCTGGCCATGCAAGAACTGGGATGTTTTCAGCCTCCAGGAATTGTGTACAGATCCTTGCAACATGGGGCCGTGCATTATCATGCTGCAACATGAGGTGATGGTCGTGGATGAATGGCACAACAATGGGCCTCAGGATCTCGTCACGGTATCTCTGTGCATTCACAATGCCATCAATAAAATGCACCTGTGTTCGTCGTCCATAACATACGCCTGCCCGTACCATAACCCCACCACCACCATGGGCCACTCGATTCACAACATTGACATCAGAGAACCGCTCACCCACACGACGCCACACACGCTGTCTGCCATCTGCCCTGAACAGTGAAAACCGGGATTCATCCGTGAAGAGAACACCTCTCCAACGTGCCAGACGCCATCGAATGTGAGCATTTGCCCACTCAAGTCGGTTACGACGACGAACCAGAGTCAGGTCGAGACCCCGATGAGGACGACGAGCATGCAGATGAGCTTCCCTGAGACGGTTTCTGACAGTTTGTGCAGAAATTCTTTGGTTATGCAAACCGATTGTTGCAGCAGCTGTCCGAGTGGCTGGTCTCAGACGATCTTGGAGGTGAACATGCTGGATGTGGAGGTCCTGGGCTGGTGTGGTTACACGTGGTCTGCGGTTGTGAGGCCGGTTGGATGTACTGCCAAATTCTCTGAAACGCCTTTGGAGACGGCTTATGGTAGAGAAATGAACATTCAATTCACGGGCAACAGCTCTGGTGGACATTCCTGCTGTCAGCATGCCAATTGCACGCTCCCTCAAAACTTGCGACATCTGTGGCATTGTGCTGTGTGATAAAACTGAACATTTCAGAGTGGCCTTTTATTGTGGCCAGCCTAAGGCACACCTGTGCAATAATCATGCTGTCTAATCAGCATCTTGATATGCCACACCTGTGAGGTGGGATGGATTATCTCGGCAAAGGAGAAGTGCTCACTATCACAGATCTTTTCAGATTTGTGAACAATATTTGAGATAAATGGTTATTTTGTGTATATAGAAAGTGTTTTAGATCTTTGAGTTCATCTCATGAAAAATGGAGCAAAAACAAAAGTGTTGCATTTATATTTTTGTTCAGTGTACGTGTGTACGATGTTGACTAACAAAGTCAGGCTTTCAAAAAAGAAAAGAAAGGAGAGAAAGACAAGAGAGAGGGACTAAAGGGCGAGAGTATGTCACCCAGTTTTTCAAAAGAAAAGGTGGGTGTGGTCCATGAGTGGTGGAAATTAGTCTGTTAGCTAAGCTTAGTCCATTGTAAATAATAATTGTAATGTTTTGCTGACATTAACTACTGTTAATATCTTCACAGAAAATGCTGAGGTTTTTCATTTCACTCCTCTTTTAGCTGGCATTTAATAAATGCAGGTACATTTTTAGCAGCTATTCATACTAAATCAGTTGTCCCTTCCACCGGTGCCAGGACCAACAGATCCATCTCTAGGCTCAGCAGCCCTGTCCCCCCATAATGCTTTGCAGTATTGCCATGCTGTCCATTGAAAGCCAGTTGGCTAGAAAGCTGGACTTCAAGGACTTGATCAGTGACTTTGCCTGTAAGAAGGCTAGGCGCTGGGCTCTTGGTGAGTAAGGCTGAGCCAGGCCTCGTAATAACTGTTAAAGGGCAAGGCTATGGTAACGATATTGGATCACTACACACAAGATGCATGATAAGAAAAAGACTGAGAACAGGTAATAGGCTCTGATTTAGCACCACCATCAGGCCTTTTCACTTCAATTTCCGTTTTGTTGTCCATACACTTTAATACCCGCTTATTTTGTAGTTGGTATGTATATTTAATTAAAAAATCTGCTGCTTATGTTATTTTTTTCGTTATAGCATTTTATAAATGATAATATTGGTGTTAATGTTCACTTTATTTTTATTTAAGAGGTCATGTATACCTATTTAAGTTATATTTATTTTGATTTATGAATGTTCCATTCAAAAATTATATTAAAGGTCCCATGTCATGCTTTTCCGGTTATTACCCGTCCCCTTGTGTGTTATGAAGGTTTTTATGCATGTAAACGGTGTGCAGAGTCACAACCCTCAAAGTACACCCTGAAGCGAGTAAAACTCTAACACAGAAAATACCTCCCCAAAACGCCTCGTTGGAGATACGTCATTGTCCATTGTTTACTTCCTGGGTATCGTGACGTAGGAATGGCCAGTAGCCTCGCCCAGACCTATGACGCGATACGGTCATGCGGTACCCGGAACCAATGGACCAATCCGTGGAGCCGTTAGGGTAAGCCCCCGCTGATTGGTCCACATTGACCAATCGACGGACTTCCTCAGACACACACACTCAAGAGGTTTCTCAATACTCAAATTTCCCCTCCTCGACTCCTCGGTCCTCCGGTAGTGACCCGGAAATGAATTTCAGCGCGCCATGTTGAAGGACATCTCATTTCTCTAAATGCACTTCGAGGACCGAGCATCGAGGAGGCTCTCTGGAGGAGCTATAACCGAGGAGACACTGATGCATCCTCCACGGCTCCTCCACGGATGCATTTCCACAACCTTCAATTTCACTGCTACACCGATGACATCCAACTTTACATCTCAACAAAAACCATCACCCCCACAACACACTCCACTCTCACCAACTGTCTCTCAGAAATAAAAGCATGGATGCAAACAAACTATCTCCAACTGAACAGTGCCAAATCAGACATCATCATCATCGGCCCCCCATCCACGTATCAA